CCCCCTCTTGGTATATTCAGGTCTGGTGCTACAGTGATAGAGCACATTGCATTGCAAAGACGCCAGCCCCAAGCACCAGAACTATTTGCTGTAGTTGGCAGATAGTCAGAACAGTGGGTTTACAATGCAAAAAACTTAAGAAAAAAGCTTAAGTTCTCTAATGACCTTAGGTAATTAGGACCTTTTTTTTCCTTATTGTCACATCAGAGCAGCCTATCAAACACAAAGCTCCCCACTAGTTTCGCTTGCTCCTGCACAGCCTCAGTGTCTGCATCTGCTAGGTGCCCTCCTGAGCTGAGATGCAAATCCTTCCAATGGCCTATGTCCTTACCAGAGATGGTCCCTCAGTGGGTGGGAGAGTTGGGCTTAGACACATATATTTATTTAAGGCCATGTTGTGACAATTACCACTTTTCACACATAGATGAGGGTGTGGAAACAAACCCATGAGATGACCAGCAGGACTTGCATGGGGTCCTGCATGAATCAAAGGCAGAACAGGGATCAGAGTGTGGGCCCCTGCCTGCTCTGGGACCTCTCCGCAGGGCAGCAGGGAGAGACACGTTACTCCTCAGGGATGTGCCAGACCTCTGCGGCAAGACCCCAGGGTGCCATAGCCCAGACCATCCTCCCCTCCTGGCTACCACACCTGAATCAGCTACTACCCTTTAGAGATCAGTGGGTTCTCCGCAGGGTGGCAGAGATCATGGTGAAAGAGGACAGATACACGTGTCACCCAGCCAACTACTAGTACTGCCACAGCTACTTGTTAATTCACATGGGACGTGGCTGAAAGACTGAGTTTAAAGACACTCAAACCCCAGTGCCACCCAATGCGTAGCAGCCTGCAAAGGTCCAAGGACAAGTTGTGGATATCTGTAGTTGTCGTGTCCTTGGGGGACCTGTGAGGAGGGGCAGGCTCAGGAAAATGACTATTGCCTTCCTCTCCTAACAACTGGGAAGAAATACCAAGGGGTTTGCAGAGTTTTCTGAAGAAAGGCTGAGCTTTCTTGAGCTAGAGCTGACTTCCCCATTTGCAGAAGAAAATTGCAAATATGTAAATGAGGAACCAACAGCACACAGGCACAGAGAGAGACTCAACCCAGAGTGGGCGAGATGGGGATTCGTGCCACTATCTGCTGCTGGGGAAGGTCCAGAAAGTTCTGAGGCAGGAGGGTGCCTTCTCAGGAGGCAGCAGTCTTTGGGGGAAAATGCTCGTTGTCCGTGGGGCTGGCAGAGCTGAAGCAAGCACGTTACACTGCCCAGCACCCAGCATTCCCATCATAACTCATACAAGAGGCTTAGGCTTCGTGACTGGTGGTACATTTTACTCACTTTCAAGGAAAACCACCATGTTTTGCAAATTAGGTTAAAACCCCAGCAAGTTTACCACCAGCAAGCAACCTGGTGTCCCTGTCAGTGGCTCTCAAACTGCTCTACCTGATCAGTTGTCTTCCCATGAAGGAAGAGGGAGAGAAAAACAGATCTGCAAGGACTGGGTCGTGGAGAGGTACATGCCTGCCCAGTGTCAGACAGGGCATCGGTGCTAGAGCCAAGACCAGGCATGTCCGTCCTCGGGGTGGTAAGAGCAGCAGGCTGAAGCATACCAGGGATTAGACAGAATCCATGTAAATCTGAGACAGGAACGCATACCGCGTTGAGGGTGCAGGAATTTGGTATGTCCAAACTGTAGGCAAGACTTGAAGAAATACTAACTGAGGTGGGGGACTGGTAATATTAAAAACCTGAAGGCATCTCTTTAGGGACAGTGTTTGTCAGCAGCCTCACCAGTGACACGGGAAAGTACCGAACTGCTGCTGCTGACGCTTGCATTTGATGCAGAAATGGGGTAGGGGGAGGGGAAAGGGCGCCAGATTGGTTTGATGACAACTTGAATTCAAAATGGCACAATAGACAATAGCCAGGGTTTTAAGAGAGAAAAATGGTAGTTAAAATCAACAACGTACCACAAAACATCACCCTTCAGGATTAGTGGCTCATCTTTTACATCATTCACTGGGAAAAAAAATTGAGAGATCTGGCAGCCTATGAAGGGAATGTGAGATCCCATGGTGTCTGCAGCTACAAAAACAAATACAATCTTTACAAGTGCAAGGAGGAAAACTGTTGGAAAACAACAAGTAGAGGGCAACTCTGGCAAGGGCACTGGCAGTGAGACATTTTTACCAGATACTTTTTCACTTGAGGCATTTCTAGGTAAAAATAAATGTAGGAAAATTGAAAGCACTAGAAACCATGGGGGGTGGGGGAGCGGGAAGAGATCTGGAAAACCTGTTTGCTTTTGTAAATTAAGCAGCTTGAGACAGTACAGGGTAACAGATGATTTTACCCAAGAACCCTCAAGCAGAAAAGTCTTTTGAGATTAGAGATGAGTGATCTCAGATCTGCACTGCAGCAAACAATGCTGGATGAAGACACAAAGGCAAGTGTGGCGTGGAAATGGTACCAAAGAGACAGGCAAGGGGAGAGGGCAGGTGCCTATGGCTGGAGCCAAGGCATGGAGCAGAACTCCTGTGGTCACAGACAGCTTAAAATGAAAGGTGGTTCTGGCTTAGCAGTGGCACCACACCAATAAGCTTGGTTTATGCTTTATATTTTTAGGTAGGAAGAAAAGCCACAGCAGGAAATTCTGCTTCAGACGGGCACCACTCAGCACCACGATGTCTGGAAAGGATAAAGGCCATGCCGACTCCTACATTTCATGCCACATAGACTCTGAATTTCGCTACAACCTCTTCACTGTTTTCTACAGCATCATTTTTGTTCTGGGCTTTGTTGCCAACTGCTACGTGCTCTGGATTTTCAGCCGTATTTACCCCACCAAGAAACTCAATGAGATCAAGATATTCATGGTTAACCTCACAGTAGCTGACTTGCTCTTCTTGGTTACGATGCCCATGTGGATTGTGTACTATAACAACCACGGAAACTGGATCATGCCCGAGTTCCTCTGTAATGTGGCTGGCTGTTTATTTTTTGTTAACACCTACTCTTCTGTTGCCTTTCTGATGGTTATCACATACAACCGTTACCAAGCTGTGACTAATCCCATTAAAGCTGCTCAGTTTACCACCCAGAAAAGGGGTATCTACTTATCAGCAGCTATCTGGATCGTAATAGTGGGCAGCTCTTTGTATTACCTTTCTGACAATAATACTAACCAGGAGACGATTGATTCGAAGAATTTCACACGGTGCTTTGAGGGCTATAACCTCACCGCTTCTAGCAGTGTTTCAGCTGTTCTTGCCATTCACATCATCATCTGCATCCTCTTCTACATAATTTTCCTTTTTATACTAGGCTGGAACATCATCATTATCAGGACCTTGTTCTCCAAAACAGTGCATCCCCGGAAGAAGGCTCATGTCAAGCAAAGGGCGCTCTGGATGGTTTGCACAGTGCTGGCCGTGTTCATTGTAAGCTTTGTACCTCATCACTTAGTGCACCTGCCCTGGACCCTGACTGTTCTGGAGCAGTGGCAGAGGGAAAACTGCCAGTTGCGCCAACAACTCAATGATGCTCACCAGGTGACTTTGTGCCTCTTGAGTATGAACTGTGTGTTGGACCCAATCATCTACTGCTTCCTCACCAAGAAGTTCCAGAAGCATCTTTCAGAAAACCTGAAAAGCATGAAAGGGAGTCGCAAGTGCTCCAGGCAAACCATGGACACAGTGATTGAGGGCACCATTCACCAAGAGGAAGCCATCAGGATCTAGGTCAGCTCTGTTCTGACTGCAGACTGAGATGTGTGAATTAGTCACTCACCTTTTCTCAAGAGTCACTAGGGAATAGAACAGAGGACCAGGGTATTACATTTCCTTTTTCCCATTAGAAAGAAGAATGGATGCTCATTTCTTCTATTACATGCAACTGGCATAGCTGGAACCTGTAATAATCTGGCAGAAAAGCACCTTCTATCTGGGCTGATGTTCTCATGGGCACTGAGAACAGCTCAGACGATTTGCTTTTACATGAAAGAAATGTCACCAAGCATCTGCAGCGTGCAGCTAGAAGCTAAGTGCACTGAAGTTACCCATGGTGTCAGCCCAGATAGCACCATGCCCTGTCCTCTGCCTGCACAGCTCCCATGAAGAATCCAGTATCAGAGCTGTAAGAGACTTCTAAAAGATCTGGAAGAAGAGATGGAGTTGCTAGCATCATCAAGTGACTTTTCTAAGAAGCTTGCACGGTTCTGTGAAGAGTTTGAGCTGAGGAAGCTCGAGTGGCTAGAAGGGACACAGTCCCACAAGTTCCTCAAATGCCATTGAAGAAGAGATCTGCACCTCTGATCCCTTCTTACCTACTCGCGTGGTCTGCTGTGGTCCATACTTGACAGATGTCTGGGAGTAGCTATTACGAATTTTTGCCGTTGCTGTTGAATGAAATTTCACTCAAATGAAAATTCAACACTCTTGAATCAGTCAAGTAACTGAACTAGTAGGCAAGAAAAGGAAGAGAAATTGGCAGTGCCTGAGCCCCCATCCCCAGGTCAGCATTATGCTCAAGGGGCACTATTGTCTGCCCTGGCTTCTTGCATGGTAGCAGAACTGGCAAGCCAGTGGCCTCTTGCACTCAGTTTAGTAATTTCTTGCTGACTGCACACATCTGTGGGAATCCAATCTTACTTTGGAGGCTCCAGATAACAGATTAGTGTCAGCATGGGCATTATGGTAAGAAGAAAAAAAGCTTAAAACGCTCCAGTATTTCTGTTTCTATTTATTTAAGTTAGGGTTGTAGAAAGCAACTGTACATTATTCCTTCCCCCAGCCTTTCTATTTCTGCTACAAAGAAATGAAGTTGACTAGTTCTTGGTATCCTACCACAAGTGAAGTATTAGGTCAGGTCATGGCCACTTCTGGAGCAGATCTGTGCTGCACAGCGATGCAGTACACTTGACAGACATAATTCATGCACTCTGCCAAGGCTGGAGACTCCTCACTCGGGGCTGGCTGCAGTCAGCTGGGGCCCAGGGCAAAGTGATTTTCCAGGCATGCCAAGTTCCGTTACCAATTGAGGTTCCTTTTCTGACCCAAATTGCTCAATCCAGCACAGGAAATTGGGTGGGGAACTTACTTGTTTTCACAAGAGTTTTTGGTTCCCTAAACTACATAGGAGAGTCTGGCTGATGTCAGGAAAAGTGTATCTGACCTGTGACACTGATTGTTCATGTGCAAGGACAGCAGCCTTCCCACACCCACCAGAGACTGAGAAAGATAAGCCCAAGTCTTTCCAAAGATAGGACCAACATTTCTATCAGGCTTTGCCTATATTCAGCAGACATACGGGTCCTTCAGATCTATCTCCTGAAGATCCTCAGGCAGCTTTTATGCTTACTTGTGTGAATGAGCAAGACGTTTCTTTTTCTAATGCCATCTGCCAGGGCCAGCCAGGCACTCCAGGCCCAGTGCCAGGCAGAGGAAAGAAACTGATCACAATGTGAATGCATTTCCTTCCTGGTCCTGGACTCTGCTCCAGTAATGGCCACCCATAAAAAAAACCCACGGGCACCCCTTAGCAGAGAGATAATTCCCCGACTATGTCCCTCAGCAACGTTCAAAGCTTTGCCCTGAATCTGCAGGCATCTGAGCCACAGCACACAACAAGGTGGGCAATTTCTGTAATTTAAAAGCCTAAATCCCGCTTGCTGGAGGAATCTGCCTCTGCCCTCCCCAGATGGCACATCCTGGCTGAGGAGCTCTTGCTCCTGGCAGGTGGTGCGGAGCTTTCCTCTTTTCCCCTTGCCACTTGATGCAATAGTGGAGCTCTCTTGCGTCACAGCCCCTAAAGGACTGAACAGATGGAGTTTAGCAACTCTTAGAGGAAATGGAAAGGGATTTTACATGGAGATCTGGTAAACGCATGATCTTCTATCGATTCCTGGAAAGCCTGCAACAGAGTTTACAGGTCAGGCTACTTACTGTGGGTGAATAACATGCTTTGCTCCACGGGAAACAGCTGTAGAGCCAGTGTGGGCTCTGAGAACAACTTGCATCTAAGGAAAAGGGTAAGTGGAGGAAAAAGCCCCGCAGACACTTCAGGAGGATACGCTGCAGTAATTAAGTCAGTAACAACACATTTCTGAAAACCAGCCTGAGCTTCTACTTCTTTTCCTGGAATTACTTTCTCGGTTTTACCACAACGTTGCATTACTCTGCTTTACTTTGCAACAAAACGGATCCTCAAAAGTTCTTTTTAATAAAGTGTGTTCCCCAAGTGCTTTGCCCTTTAACTTCCCCCACCTTCTCATCTTTCTGTGTCTGTACTCAAGGGAAAGCCTCGGTACCACTCTGACACAGCCCGATTTCGGTGGGGCCTTTTTTTAGAATCACCGCGTGAACTCATGGGAGAGGTGAATTCAACGGCTCAGCAAGTTTCGACCCGCTAAAAGGGAAGGGGAAAGACATAACTCCGGAAAGGGAACAACTTCTGAAAAATCTGGCCGAGCTCTGCAAACCCCAACCGGACAAAAACCCCCGAACTCCCGACCCGCGCGCCCGGGAGCTTTCCCGTAGCCACCCAC